AGCTATTCTATGTTGATACACTATTGTCAATTTCTGTATCGATTGTCAATGTATGTTTCAAAGAGGAAAAGTTACCCAGCTACTTCATTATAAGCACTTTATCACATTTTGTTTGATATTTTGGAGGATATTCTGCTTTTATAAAATGTCTGTACATTCATATACAAGGGATCTAAATTATAGCAATGGGTTCGTTTAATGTTTTGATTAACCCTTTTAGAGCCTCACTGAGTAGGCATATTACCACAATATGAAGTATACCAAATCCAAACATACAAACTAATCCAAAGCCCACTGCAGTCAAAAGGAACGACCATGCTATAATTTTCTAACATGCCTATTCACAGATATGCTGCATATATCGCTTTAGAATGTACTGTGTATATATAAACAACTATAGCTATCTAAGAGTTTGTATCAAAAGAGACAATTTGAAAAAAAGGAAAAACGGTGACTCTATGGATTGTATTTATATTTCACTTTTTATCCCAAATCACTTTACAAACAAAGCATACAAGAATCTCACCACCCTCCACTAATGCGTAGCTACCTTTGGGGAGGAATGAAACAACTGTTTATCAACCAAGCAGTGACACTACACAAGTTTGAGACAGATAGTAAAACATACAGCTTTAACTAGACAGAATATAAATTTGTATGAGCTACTGGGAGTAATATGTCTTCTGCAGCAAACAGAGGCATAATATTTTTACTGATCAAAAATGGTCAAGACTGGATTTACACATCAACCATCAGCACGTATTGAAAACCAGTCCCACATACTTATTGTATTAAGATGAACCCCTAGTTGTCAAATCCCAAGACCACCTACTTCACAATGAACAGAATATAAAAAGCAACTTCAGTGAGTCACAACAATGAATATTAATTAAACTAAAAGTGACTGCAGTTTTTAGCATGAAAAATTCTCTGAAAATACCATTTAATTAAAAATGAATTTTTCTGTGGGGAAATGTTGATTTTGAGAAAAGATTTCAATTTTTTGATCAGGTGGGACCAAAGTAAAAATATTATGAGTTGACATTTCAAAATGAAACTATTTCTTCATTTCAAAATGTCAATTTGAAGAGAATGGTATCATTTCAACATGTCAGATTGTTTTGCTCATAAATGTAGACATTTAGTTGAATATTTCCAATTCACAAGTTGAAATATTTTGATTTACAAAATGTTTTGATATTTTGACTTTCCCTTCTGATTTGGAATGCAAACTAATTTTGAATTGTCTAAATTTTCCAAGAGATGAAAAATCTCATCTCCCGACCAGCTCTAATATTAACCTATGCATGCTTTAAACAGAGAGGAGGGCTAAGCACCTCGTTAATGGCAAAAAGACAAATTAAGGGGAAAGCCAGACTACTAAGTAACTTCCATCCAGCACAGATGTAGCCTCCCAGATGAACTAGTGCAGTATACTAAACTCAAGTGTAATCGCAGTATGAAACAAAACAAAAAACACACACAAAGAGAGCATGATACAATGAGAGCACTGGGGGTGGCGGTAGGATGTGTGGTGAGGACATGGGCCTGGCATCAGCACAGGGCCAGCTTCAATCCACATAGCCGCCCTGGGGCCAGTCCCAGTTTACTCAAGGTAGTGAGACCCCGCCCAGGAAATGGTGGGGAAAGGGGGCTCCACTCATCATCCAAACCCAGCTGCTCAGATTGGGGAGAAGGCCAGCATGAGCCAGCACCCGACGCTGCCCCCTTTAGTGTCTGGAGAACCAACCCCTCCCCAGAGTTCCCTTTGGGCCGCTGTAGCTCTGACCTCTTCGTGCTGTGATGTGGCCAGGAATGGTAGCACCATGATGCAGGACTCAGCCTACGGAGCTGCATGTGGTTTCTTGTGCAAAGGAGCAAACATGGCTCCTCCAGTTATTCCTGCAGGATGTTTCTGCATCCTTGGTTTCAAGATTTCTGTGGGTTCAACTGAACCCATGAACCCCTGCTAAAGCCACCCTGGCTTCCACCTATTATAACAATACTAGAGTCAGATGCAAGTCAGGGTAGTCTAAAGAAGCCTCTTTTCACCAAGTATACAAACATACTGTATATTAAAAGAGAAGGAAGATGTTCTTCCAAAGACACCTAGTACATAGGACTAATACACAGGTTTGCAACCTGCTGAAACATTTCTTACTGTATGTTCTCCTGCAGTTTTCAAGACAAAGTATTTTCATTTTAAATCTTATTTCTAGTGCTGCTGTATAGCATTCAGCTCTATATCAACAGTATCAAGGTTTGAGAAACTACTATTCACAAATACTCATAGTCAAACCTTTCACAGCCTTAAGGGGCACATTTCTTCATGCCAAATTTTATACCCGGCTTCCAGTTAAATCAATGGGAGCCTTGGTCATGCATCTGAGGCTAAAATTTTGCCCTAAAAGGTGCCTAATCCTGCAGCACTTTCCTGTGGAAAAAGTTACCTAAAAATGGGATTTCTGTGTGCTGGAACATTAGGCATAAGTAGGGAATAACTAAGCGTAATGCCTGATGGCATGGGAATATAGTGTGGATCTTTCTAGCTCACTAAGAAAACGTTAACCTTATGTTTAAAAAAATATCTGCTTCTTGAAGGTCTGTTTATATCTTAGATTAAAGGATTTGATGAGAGACATGCCCTCAAAACAGCACATGTTGGTGAAGACAACCTCAAGAATGCTCCCATGATGTTACTGAGTATCAGAGAAACACTTAAAAGCTAGTAACCTCCCCTGAAATTTGTTTCACAACACATATGTGTAGATATTATAGCCTGAGGTGAACATTTTATAATCTCTTCAGAGTAATATGCATCTCCTTTGAAAATCTAATCTGTTGATCCACGTCACTTTTTTTTTTTTTTTTTAAACAGTTTCAATATAAAGATGCTTTCCACATAGCCTGAGGTTGAGTACAGAATGTGTTTAATAGACCAACTTTTCTGCACACATTTTCTGATGTAATGTTCAGGGCAAGTTATCATTGTTCTATTTACATTCTTAGTCAAAGATAAATTTGGTTATAATTTTGTGCTGTTTTCTTTAGTGTAGAAACAGCGTATGTGGGTTCTTTCTGCCTGCTCTAAAAATCACTGCATTTCAATCAGTACACATACTTCCAAGCAGATGGCACATTTCTTATTGCACTGTTAAAAGATTGTCACCATCAGCAAAAATGTTCTCTAGTGTCATGAAATGAAACTCCTTACTTTGAAAAGGAAAATAAGGTTTACCATCCTGTTATTGTATTGTACACAGTATCACTGCTTTACTATTTTTTTAATAAAACTAACTTTTAACAATATTTTTAATTTTTCATAAACAGTAGCAAATCAACTTCAGGAGATTCTGCTGTTTGGACAGTATTCAATATGTAAAATAGCATTACAAATAAATAAATTTTATTGCAGAAACATTTTAAGGTTGTTGCAATAAGATGATTTTAAAACAGCACCAAGTTCTCATTGAAATGTTAAAAGAAGGAAACTGTTCTCCCTCCTTCGAGCACTGCTACATTGCTTCTAAAAGGCTTTGAGCTATTGCAAACGCTCCCCTACCCACATTTCCCCATTCTTCAAGTGTTCCTCATGTGGCCACAACTCCAACCTCTCACTTGAAGGAGACCAGATAGAATTTGAAACGTGATCTATAGACATCACTCATTAATCAGCTGTATAAGTGCTTCTGCTGCTGTTAAGCAATGCTCCCACTGTACTCCAAACAACTGTGCACAGTTCCTCAGCATTCCCACCCTGTGCTAGCCACAAGTGTCAGAGTAAGGGCTGGTCTACACTTAGAGCAGTACAGCTGCACTGCTGTAGTGCTTAGTGAAGACACTACCTATGCTGATGGGAGAGCTTCTCCCATCGGCTTAGGTACTCCACTTCTCTGAGAGGTAGTAGCTATGCCGATGGGAGAAGCCCAACCAACATACATTTGTAGTGTAGACCAGGGCTGAGTAGCTCAGCAATCAAACGCTGGTCTCCTGCATGGCAGTTCAGAACACTTCCCCTAAAGCTACAGCCTGACATAGGGAACTGAATTTTTAAAGAATAGTTGGAGAGAAATGGACTCCAAAAAACTACAAAACTGAGAATTTAAAAGACAACAAAGTTGTAAACAAAATCTTGTCTTAGATTTGTTACAATCTTGAAAATCTGAAAAGCAGAAGCATCAGTGAGCTTAGCCAAAGAGATAACTATTGTTTGTGTTCCCTGTGCTCGTTCTGTCCTTGAACACAAATTATTCTGAGCTGTGTTGACATCAGTATTTGCAAACAGACATGCATATAAATGGATATATTTTGAAATAATAATTGTAATGTATGTAATGCTTTATTTTTGTTAAACAGTGTTAAATTTTCCCTTCACACAAAATAGAGGGGGACAATCTTGAATGCTTAAATTTTTTAGAAAAATAGAAGGGATTAGAAAGGGATAACATGTCAATATTAATAATCAGTGTGTGGCTTATAAATGAGGATATTATTAGGTACATTTATGAAGTAACCAATCTTGACATATGTGAGGGTCATTGTCTACTATGAATCTGTTTCAAATCAAAAGGAAATGGAGTTTCCTTATAAATCAGTTCAGATTATAAAGTCAATTCAAGCATATATCACACCATTTCAACGGAAGGTTCTCTTAAAAAGGACACAAAAATGTGACTAGATGTACCCTATATATTATACAATTGCAAAAAGTATAGATGCTGCTATCATATAGCTTGGGTAAATTGTCTGGTATAATTAAACCGCCAGCAGCTGTAAATTAACTGGAGCACACTTTTCTGGTACTCAGATAATAATGAAGCTCTAGTGCAGTCAGTTTTTCATTAAATTATACAAACAGCTTAAAAGTTTAAAAAAACCAACAATAGCACTGGGTGAGATAAGAATACTCTCCCCACCTGAAACATTTAATAAAAACATGCTCGATGCTGTGTCTCTTACTGCCCACCTGATGGCAGCAAACACCAAATTTCTATTCTTACCTGCATCGGGTGCTCATTTCCCCTTGTAAGATCTTCAAGCTGCTGCAGTTGCCAAGCTGCCAAACCATATGACTCCTCAGCAGTCCTACAGTCCAGAGGATTTGCATGCAACTGTTCTGTAAGCCACATCTGAGTCCTCACTGAGGGCTGAATGGGTACTCCGTTCATAGCCTGCTGTCCCAGTGTTGCATATTTGTGCCCAAAAGCCTCACAGCTGGCTGAGTTGGGCTTGCTTTCAGGTAAGGCACTGTAGGTCATGTCAAAGACATGTCTCCTATTTGAGGCGTCTGAAACACCAAAGTCTTCTTTGCTGCAACTTTCAAATTTGTATTTGCAATCCAGCGTAGAAGATCGTTTTTTCCCAGTTTCTTTGTCCTCAACTTTTAGCAACTCCATGCTATTATGCAAACAACTCGGCCCATTTGTTCTTAATTGTGGTGACATGGTCTTGTCTCTTCCTGATCTGTCAGTACTAGCCCTGGAGTCCCCTGAAAGGACACTTTCATCCTGACTGCAGCTATCTGGTGTGCTCAGTTTAGACAAGGATGACCATTTCCTTACAGGCCTCACATCCTTCATGTCAAGAGAGTGGTCCACTATGTCCAGATTTCGACTTCCTCCTGACCGTAAAAGGTTTGTACTCCATTGTGAGCAGTCAGACTTCAGAGCTTCCCTGTGTTTGGAAAGTGAAGAGCTGGCATTAGACGGCATCACATGGGCAGTGGGAATAGAGACCAATGATCGGCTGGGCTTAAACAAGGAAGTACCACTTGACGTTGAATGATCTAGGAAAAAGATTTATCAAGTAAATAAACGCAACACAAGCTCTGCCAGCAATACTGATCACATGTCAAACTCAGGACGAAATGCTAAAGCAGCAGGCATATCCTCTAGTAAATTCTTAATGGGACACAGTCATATTAAAAACACATTCCATGACACAGAGTTATTAGAACTGATAAATATGAAACCCATCAAAAATAACGTGTTTCCTTTCTGTGGATGTTGCACAGCTAGGACAATGAAAATGGTGTAGACTGGCCAGTTTCACTACTATTTTTTCTTTTGGGTTGCCAATGTTGCAGGGGAATGTTTTCATCTAAACAACACCGTCATAAAGTTGCCAAGATTTCTATTTAGGCTATGTCTACACTAGAGATATTACAGCGGCACAACTGTACCAATGCAGCTGTGCCACTGTAAGATCTCTCGTGTAGCCGCTCTATGCTGACAGGCAAGAGCTTTCCCGTCAACATAATTAAACCACTCCAGATGAGCAGCAGTAGCTACGTCAGTGAGAGAGCTTCTGACATACCGCTGTGTACACTACCACTTATGCCAGTGAAACTTGTGTCGCTCAGGGGTGGGGTTTTTCCCCCCCCACACCTCTGAGCGACATAAGTTTTGCCAACATAAGTGGTAGTGTAGGCATGGCCTTAGGCTGTAGAGACTCTCCTAAATGCGGGGAAAATATTTTTTTGATAGTTTGTATATTATGGAGATATCAGTAGCAACTTTATAGTTAAGACTGTGTTGAAATTTTTAATTAAAGGAGGTTTAAAAATTCCCTCATCCACATATTAATCATATTTAGTCTCTAAATATGAAATAATAAATGTTCAAGGAAAATTAATTTCTATGCATTATATTGTTTGTAATATATTTATTAAATTTTGCAGAGGAAACAATTTGAAGTGCTCCCTTTTTGAAATGCGCATTTTTTTGGTTCCTCTAGTTAAACAATCACAGTCACCACAAATTCTAAATTTCTCTCTCTTTCTGAACCTCATACATACAGGCAATGTATTGGAAATAAGCCCCTTTTAACATTTTAAAATTAAACCACAAACAATTATTCCCTTTACTTAGGTTAAAATAATTGAGTTATGCCAAGATTCTGCAATGAAACAGCCAAGTTCTGTTAGCTACTGCCATTCTCCCACACGGTCAACCGTCCCAGATTCACCAGACATCCCGTGGAGACAAGGAAGCAGGCTGCTCAGCAAAAGAGCTGTGCATGTGTGTACACGCAGGCTACGGAGGAGAAAATGGAGCTGTAAAGGATCAGTGATGCTGTGAAGGTCAAGTCCAATGTCCATATAACATGTTGTACCACATGCTTAACACTGAGCATCAGGGGCGTGCACAGGCTGGGGCAAGCAGGGGCACAGTCCCTCCACCCCCGTAATAGGTGGAGCACAGAACTCCTCTGGCCCCAGAGGGAGAGCAAGCTCCTCCAGCCCCAGGGCCGGGGGGACACCTGTCCCCCAAGTTTTGTACCGCAGTGCATGCCCAGGCAGAACTCTTAGCTGCAGCACTGGACAACCAGATCCCTCCCCTCTGCCAGGAGCCTGCGTTCTCCGGAGCTCACCCACCCCACCCTCTTCTCTGCCTCCACCAATTAGCAGCTGAGATGACAATCCCCCTAACCAACAGTATGTGGCAGTGAGCAGAGCTCCTAGTAGAGCAGGCAATGAAGAGATTGGTCGGGGGGGGCACCGGTACCTGGCAGGGTTGAGTAGGGGTTCGGAGCTCCTCCGGCCCTGGGGTTGCGGGGGGCAGAACAGAACGTTTCACCCCAAAAGGGGTCAAATTTTTATTCCTGCGCATGCCCCTGCTCTGTGTGCGCGCGCGCGTACACACACACACACACACACACACACACACTCTCTCTCTCTCTCTCTCTCTCTCTCTGAAATTTCTACATAAAAACAAATACTAACACCAAATACCCATAGAGGAAATCTTCCCTAAACATTACAGGAAAAAAAATGTATTGCAGCCACCATTTGCGATATGGCACTACATTTTGTTTATTACCCACACAAAACCACATATAGATCTGCATACAGCATAATTTAGGGAGGCCACACCAAGCCTAAACAAATATTCAAGACATAGCTACAGTGTGAGATACCTGTTAACTGTTTGTGAAGATGCTCAGGCTCTGCGTGGTAAAAGGAAGGCAGCAGAGACCGAGAAGAACTGATTGATAGTTAAGTTATTCACTACCTCATGTACACTCTAAGTGTTTCTTTGCTTTTTACAGTTTGAGTTGGCAGGCTATACAGTTTAGCCAACTTCACTCTAAAGTTAAGTGGAGTTTTTTCTAAGGGGGTTACTGTATATATATTTAAACAGGTATCTATACAATGAAAGGATCATACTGTCACTTTCTTGCACTTAGCCTGGCATCTCCAACCCCAAGCGGAAATATCAAAATGTTCACAGAGGACATGAGGGAGGCACTGTTCAGAGAGAGACTGGTAAGTGAAAACAACAGAGGTGAGGCAGAGGTTACTGAGATCTGATTGACAGCTCTCCCATAGTCAGCAACTGCTGCTTAGCATCATAGCCTGTAGACAATCAGAAGTAAGCAGCAAATCCTCTCACCAGCTTCCATTAAGTCACATGGCTCAACCTTACCCATGCGCTCAGGTTGTTCCACACTGTAAGCTCATTAAAGCATTATTACTTACTCAACCATCTGCAAATTAAACCCCATAAGACTTTTTGGTTAAATTTTTGACAAAAAAAAGGCAGTCTTCACTGTTTTTTCTCCTCAGAATCCTCAGCCTTACAGTGAGTACCAGAGTTCCTGGGGAGCCACAAAACTAGCCCGGTCAAGCTCAGTGTTCAAGGGCAAATCAGTGAACACGAACCAGCACTCTGCAGATGCTGCTTGTGGGGGTGGCTGAGCTTTGGGAAAGGCACGGTTTCTTTTACTACAAACCTAAACCCCTGCCATAACATTCCCTAAAATACCTAGCTAACGTGTACAACATTTTCAAGACAAACAAGTATTGCCCAAACCGACAAAGTCATATAGACAGATAATTTGGAATCTCCTGCATTACACCTTAATAAATCTTACAATTTATTTATATACGTCAAAAAAGTACAACCAGCTACTGGACGGGGGTGTATTTTATATGAGTCTATTCTCAGCACTGCACTGCTGGGATGAAAGTAAAGGGAACGGCCTCAATCCTGGTCCCATTAAAAAAAAATAAAAATAAAAAAAGGCAGAATTCTCATTTGAGAGAAGACCTAGATGATCATTATTTTTTATCCTCCTACATGCTCAATTTACTCCTTGTCTGTTCAGTAAAGTTTATAACACAACATAAGAAAATAGTGTTAAAAATCATTGATATCGAACCAAAATACTGATTTAAAATAACTAAAGGGAACCTCCGGGGTCACTTTCTGAGTCAGATACAACACATACATTAAATTATAGCCCGGGGATGGAGCAGCTAGAAATTTTTATCCATCTCACTTTCTGGAGGGTGGGGGAAGAGAGAGAGAGAGAGAGAGAGAGAGAAGGAATTGCAAGACGGAAAATATGGGCCAAATTCTGACTTCAGTGATACCAATGAAAAATTGCATTCCATATGTCTTGGAGAAGATTGAAACTGGCAAAAAACAAACACACACTTTTTAGTTGTTATACAGTATCCCAGTGCTTCCAACACTGTACTCTCTCTGCTTGCCCTCTCCAGCACCAATCACATAGGAGTGTTTAAATAATCAAAAACTTGTGTTTGGTAGTAGATTTTTCATTTATTTATTTAGTGAATTAAATCTGAAAATTGTCCCAAACTACTTACCTGAATCCCTTTAAAGAAGAACTTCAATTCTTTACCTGCTAAGTCTATGTTCAGGTTTCTGTATTTTTCCTGCTATGTCCAATAATCATAACATCTAAAGCACGACAGGGAGCTGAATTATGCATCTTCCTTACACCATATTAGGTGTTTGTGAGCACATTTTTAACAGGAAAAACAGAAGCAAAAATTTGGAACTTAGTTAAAGAAAGAAAGGCTCATCTACCACCATAATATTTTGTTTTAAAACTTACTAGATGTACTTTTAAGGCTACAAATTATATAGATGTGGTGCTTTGATACTACTATACTGGTTAATATAGAAAATCCTACAACATTGTTGAACATGATTTTGCCATTTTAGATGTAAAGTAAAACCAGTTGCTTAAGAGACCTCATTTATGAGTAAGAGTGTCGCTATTTATCACAGTTTCCCTACTGGTACCAAACTGTTTTCTTCTCTCAGAAAAGCCCAAGCAACCACTTCTCATTTGCTCAGTTTTAATATGAGCAAATACTGTATGGCACGTACATCTCCAGTGCTGATGAAACCAGTGGGCTTTCCTAGTATCAGAGGCTTTCAAGTCTGGCATTTTATCTGGGCTATAATTCGGAAGTCACTGAAGAAAATGCAGGTAGACCTCTACCCCGATATAACACAACACGAATTCGGATATAACGCAGTAAAGCAGTGCTCCGGGGGGGGGGGCGGGGCTGCGCACTCCGGTGGATCAAAGCAAGTTTGATGTAACGCGGTTTCACCTATAACGTGGTAAGATTTTTTGGCTCCCGAGGACAGTGTTATATCGGGGTAGAGGTATATTAAAAAGTAGCCCAAAAAAACCCCATACTTCAAACTACCTCTCTGATCCAAGAAAGTACTTATTACAGAAATAAAAATATTCTTAGCACTCAGAAGAGAAGGTTTAGAGAAGGGAGACATTCCTATTCTAAGAGCTTGCTAAAAAAAACCCTTCAATTGGAGTGTACAGAAGTTCTGTGCTCAACTGCACGTCATCTTTTCAGAATGATTCTCCAAACCATGCTTGCTGCAACTGTTAGTTAGTTAGACCTCTGTGACACAGCCACAAGTGATTTAAAAAACAGCCAAATCATGACTCACACAGTCTCTGTAATAAATCATCACATCTGGCTCATAAGGGGGTGGGAGCCTG